GAATATGCAACTATGTCCTGGGGGGGGGGGGGGCGGGGCGGGCTTGGGGAGAAGAAGGAAAAATAAAAAAGTTTTAAAAACAAAATCTTACGATAAAGAATGAAAATAAAATCATTTAAAAAGAGACTGCTAACACTGAGAAAAGGAATTGGAGTAGGGGAGAGAGTGGAGACAGAGCAAAGGAAATAAGGCAATTGGGTTTGCTGGCAGTGATGACGGCTTGCCCTAAAGCAACAGAAATGAAAAGGAGACAGATTGCTAAGACACGGTAAAAGTAGGAGCAAGAAATAGGAGTTAGTTACTGAGTGAAGATGAGCTCCCTCGAAGAGAAAAGGAGTTGTTGCTCATCCAAGATGTCAGGCTGGTCTACAAATAAGGAGATGTTCCTAGAATTCGGTTTTGAGTTGGAGGTACTGTCTGGCTTATCAGATAGAGGCTCATGGTGGACAAGGGGTTTGGGGAGTTGTCTGGAAAGAGATAACATCACACAGAGCAAGAGACTCGTGTTAGAAGAGAGAGGACCAAGGGCAGGGTATTGAGGACCACATCCCCATATGGAGCATTCCTGTGAAGGAATGCCAGAGGAGGTAGAGCGGAAGAGGGAAATCCAAGAGATTGTGATGACATCCCAAGAAGAGAAGGACCAGAGAGTTTCAAGGAGGACGAGGAGGTGGAGTAGGAATCTATCCAGCAGCCAATGGAACTCAGTGCCTGGAGGGTCATTCCTTGTGGACCTACCAGGGAGCATTTCTAACAGAGTGAGTGTGGAATCCAGATTGCTGGGGGCTGAGGGTAAATCAAAGGCTGGACAAAAGAGGAGGTAGTGAGTGAAAACTATGCTTTTGGGAAATTTCTCATCAAAGGGAAAGGAAGTAATGCAACAGGAGCTTGACTGAGAAGGCAGGATCTATGGAAGGCGTTCTTTTAGGATGGAGGCTATATGCCCAGTTTACAGGCTAAGGGGAAGAGCCACATGAGATGGACGGATTAGAAACCCTTCAGAGAGTCTTGGGAGATGACAGAACGAAGAATAACAACTGGTAGAGTTAGGCTTGGAAGTCAGATGAGGACCTTCATCTTCTAAGAGGGCAGACAGACAGAGAATGATAGAAGTGAAAAGGTATTTTTGGCAGACAGAAGTTGAGCCTCTATGCACGGGTGATATTTAAAATATTTAACAACCAGTGCAGAGTGGGCCCCAGCTATCAGACACTGGTTGCACCCCAGGATTCCAGAGGCCCACTACTCTCTTCTGTGTTAACTCTTTTGTTGCTGGTCACGGCAAGGTCTCAGGGTAGAGGCTGGGGTAGCCGAGTGGCAGGCAGCAGAGCAGGGCAACAAAACTATAAGGCTGAAGCAACATCTCGTAGCTGGAACTTTAAAAGACTGAATAAAAATTAACTAAATTCCTCAAAAACAATCATTTGTGACAAAAAGAATATCATACTATAAAACGATTAACCTTTAGCTCTCTGATTTAGGGTTTTTTTTTTTAATCAAATAAATAATGAATGCCTTTCATAAACTTAGTGCATGTTGGTAAAAGGTCCAAAGAGAGGGGATTGATTGAAATCAAAACTGTTCACACTCTTTTAGCTTATCCTGCTGCAGAAAAAACAACAGTCTGAGAGTCCAAATGGGGAAAATGGGAATACAGTGAATTTCAGAACACGGAATCTGGAGTTAGTTGAAGCTCCCCCTCTGAGCACCAGTCACAGACCCCTTTGCAACTCTGCTCTCCCTCTGGAAGAGGAGAGTGAGAGGACAAAGAGGAGAGTGATATGACAATACCTAGCACTCAAGAGAATACAGGAAAGTGCTTGGGGATTCCCAGATCACAGTTGCCAAGCACGTAATATGGAAACTGTCACCAAGGTAATTGTATCAACCTCAGCCACGTGTCAGCCTCCAAAAGAAGGCACCCCTGTACTTGTCAGTCCGCAGCATGGAAGCATTTCTCCCATGCCCCTCCAAAGCACTGCAGGACACTCAAAGGGTCTGCTGGGCCGAGGGCTGCTGGCCCGGTGGAGCCGACTCTCAAGAATTACTAAGGTCCTTGATCTAAGACATGCTGTATGTGGCTGTAGCCTTTTCAAAACAGAATATTCTGACTGAAAGAGACCTTTTATTTAATCCCAGCCCTTTAGAGATGAGGAAACCACGTTAGCCAGCTATTTAGCAGAAGTTTAAACCAACATTTAGATCCACCTGGATCTTTAATCCAGTATCCTTACTTCTAACTCTCTTGTTGGAAAGTTTAAGCTATAATTTATACACACATGAAGGCGGTTTCTTGATACACATCATTTATTTGTAAATCAGGTAAGATGCCAGAATGACACATCTTCAGAGGTTTTAAGGTATAATATGGAATGCATTATATTTTGAATGTATAGCTGATACATTGACCCAGCGGGACTCATGGTATAATCAGAAAACAACTTTATTCTCTTTTATCATGCCTGTTCCAACCTGCTTTAGGGGGCTAGTTGTTTTCTTGCATAGGAATTAATGCACAAGCCCTATGACTTTTTGGGTCACTTTCAAATAATAAAAAGGCCTCTGGTTACTTTTAGTCAAAAATACAGTCTTTATCGGTCATTAATATGTCTGGTACAGTGAAACAACAAAAACCTCCATACTTCCCTGGCAAAGAGGAGTGATGGCAGACTCCCTCTGTATTTCTCCCAGCCTGGGGCTTCTCCCCTCCCACACTCACTAGGCTGCCCAGCTCCTCCAGGATTAAAGGGAGGAAGAGAGAGAGAAGGAGGCAGAACGGCCTTGGGGGACTCTAGCCGGCGCGTGGCTTACTCTGGCCATGGAGATGACACTTTCTCTCATGGGCACTTTCATGGGTTTGTCAGAACCATCCTCACCACCACCACCCTGGGGAGTCTCTCACCACCCATTTCCTTGTCTCAGGCAAGTTCATTTTGTCTCTGATTGGTTGCTTAGATCCCCTCCTCCCCGCGGTCCCCTCCCCCTTCCCTGGCCCCTGGGCATCTGGAGGCAAATTTCCAGCTTCTTTCTGCTGAGTTCTCTGCCTTTCCAAGCAGCGCTGTTGGGCAAGATCAAAGCCAAGCCCACACTGTCTGTCTCACTCTTAGACTCGTCTTCCGTGGGAGTAAATTACTTCCCCCACCATAGTCCCTACCCTGTGTTCGAGCCGCTTTGGCAACCCTGGCCCTTTAGATTTCTCAGGCATGAGCCAGACACCAGTCCATGGTGTTCACCAAACAGCAGGGGACACATCCTGAGCTCTCTGAGAGGCCTGCCTGAAGTCCCTTTCATCAGACTTCAGGTGAGAGAAAGCCCCCTTGGCCCATCCCCGGGCGGGGGGGTGGGGGGGGGTGCATAGGAGGGGCCTCTTAGAACACTTACAACATCTTTTACAGAAACCCTTCTTAGTCCACAGCAGTCTCCATTTCAACCCTGTTATACTTCAAGATAAGTGACAGGTTGAGGGAACACTCCTTTGCGAGTCCTACCTGGTAGTCCTGCGCCCTGTTCAGAATGTGAGAATGGTGGGCAACAATTACCTGGGGCCTCTGTCAAAATGAAAATAAAATAATAGCTCTCATTTAACATCCTGTTTCCAAATGTATTCTCCTCTTTGCAATGATCTCTATAAGGTTTTCTTTAATAGGTAGATGTTGGTAAAGGTCAAGTGCCGTTTCGATGAACTTTGTATGGTTTTGTTGTTTATTGGAGATTATTTGAATTATCGGTGGTTGGATAAGGATTGGCAATAGCTTTGTTATACAGCGATCTTTTTTGTTATAATGAGATTCATTGCAATCTGACCAGCAGCTGGATGCCCAGAATCCCTGGGATCGTTAGTTATGAGTTGCGCTTCTCAAATCTGTTTTTTCAACTGAATCAGGGAAGTGATTTGAATCATAAACAACAACAAATTGGCTGCCCGAATGAAAGGAAATGAGCCAGAATATAAAATTTCTTTGTAATTCTAATTGTTCTGTAGTGGTTTCAGTTAGATAACAAGTTGACTTGTATCAGAAAAACCACCATCCCTACTCAGGTGGATGCACGCCTGTGCTGCCCCCCAGCAGGGTCAGCAGACTCGCTAGGGCAACATGGTGTCAAAATCACTTTGTTTCCTCGTGGTCCTGTGGACCCTGCATATTGGTCTCCATCCTACCCTGCAGTTTGTGGCCGGCATCTACCTCCAGGCCTTAAACGCTGTTTGTTCTGTACTTGGCCCTTTCCTCAAAGCCTGAAGCATTTTGGAACCCTGTCGACAGATCATTTAAGAACACAGGATGAATCTTTATATACATTTTTAAAAAAGACAACCAGCTCTGGGATAGTATCTCGATTTTACACCCATACATGATTTAAAATATCTAAGGTCATATTGAGCACATAGTGGACAAATTCTGACGGGTGGGATATCAAGTCCAATAGAAGAAAGACAAATGCACGGAAAAACTTGTCTTGCTGGTCTTCAGTTCTCTTGAAGCATCACTAGAACCCTCAAGACATTAACAGAATCTGCTTATAGCAGCCAACTCTTCTCCGTGGCCAGCATTTTAACATAATATTTGAGCTGTCAATGTCACTGTCAGGAATGTAATTTATTTCACTCTTTATGTTTATTTGGATGGGCATTTTGGAGATGAAAGTAGCAGTGATTTAGTGCTGCTGACAAATGGCACTCAGCCTGATGTCCTCACCAATCCAGGTTGGTTTCTTAAGCAGAATTGGGCTTGGCTCTAGGTGAAAATTAAAATGTTCAAATAAATTAAACATAGCATAAGGGTTCTCATTCCTCCCATACAGAAAAGCAAAAGTAAGGGCATTTTACAAATTGGGATCCTATTTCCAGGAAAGCCAGTGACTCAGTCAACGGCGAGTCAGAATCACCTGTGACTCTCTGTAAAAATATCATGTCCAGGCCCCATTTCTCCCCTCAGCCCTCACCCTAGGTTCTGACTCAGGGGGTCTGAGGTGGACCCAGGTATTTGCATTTTTTGAAGCCCCCACTGGTGATTCTGATGTACAGAGTTGAGAGGGATCACCAACAGCTTGGGTGGACCCAGAAGTTTTAAAAGAATGGATTGGAAGAAGGTCTAGCTAGAGGGCTCCTTCAGTGACCACGCAGAGCAATGAATGGCATAGAGGGGATGGAGGGGGGTGGGAGTGTCACATCAGAGCGGGGGTTCATGAACCTCCTCAAGCAATTCTTAACTTTGAGGGAGTCACAGATCACTTTGAGAGTCTCGTGAAAGCCACAGCTACGCTCCTCAGAAAAATACACAAGGCTAACCCCCACAAAATTTAGCACATACTTTGAGGGGATTCTAGATTAGAATTAAGTTTTTGATTTTGTTCTTTTAACCAGCTGGATGACAGTCCCATTCATTCAGGTAAGGAAAATGAGAGAGGCCAGCTTCCTGGCCTCAGAAAGCTCACAGTCTAGTAGCCAGGAGAAAGCAGTAGCAACAAATCAATATGCACAAACGTAGACAATGATCACAAGAGTTGTGGGGGAAGGGAGAGTTCTGGAATGTTGATTTGGAGAATTTGAACCTTGTGCTTTGAGAGGCAACAGATCATAGGAGACAGGTGTGGTATGAGGCCCCCCCAAAAGAATGGAGGTCAGTCTGACTAAGGGAGGTTGATAAAGGAGGACCTACTGTGGGAGTCCCAGGAGGCTACGTTTGGAATAGAAGTTCACAGACAGCGTGTGATAAAAATGGCATTGATCCACGCTGCTGCTGGAGGTCACCGACCTGGTGCCACCGGTGGGTTGGGGTCTAGGGTGGGGTAAGTTGTTAACATGCCGATGAATACGGTTTTATAACAGACTCGGAGGAGACACTGGGAGGAAGAGAGCAAGCTGGTGCTGGGACGGCGGCCTCGGAGCCGCTGTTCATCGCCAGGGTCAGAAGTTGGCCCTGTGTTTGTTCTTGAGGATGAAAGAAAACCGCGGGAGAACGCTGAGCGGCGGAGAACCACATTCAGCCAGTGGGCATGGAAATGAATTTTAGCTGCTATGTGCAAAACCCCTAGGTGTGTGGACCGAAGGAAGCCAGCCAGAAGGTTGCAACGGGTCAGGAATAAATAACCAGCAGGCGGAGGATCCCAGATTCCGTGCTGCCTTTTGTTGGGTGAGGAGCGCCAGGCAAAGCGTCCACAAAGGCTCTGGAAAGCAGCGGTCCACGCTCGGCTCCACCGCGGGTAACTCTTGGGGGCCCCGCGGGGTGGGAGCAGCTGGAGGCCCGGGGCGGTCGGCTCTCCCCCGAGGCCTCGCAGCCGGGACCCCAGAATAAGTCGGGGGCGGGCGCGGCGCGGCGGGAGGGGGCCGGGCGCGCAGATCCCACCCCTTCCTGAAGGAAGCGCCCTCCTCGCCGCCACCACCGCCGCCGCCGCTGCCGCCGCCGCCGCCGCAGCCGCAGGTCACGGCCCCGCGAGGCTGCCGCGGCCCCGCCGCACCGGAGCAGGTAGGCGCGGCGCCCCTCCCCCGCCCGGGCCCGCCGGGCAACCAGGGGGCGTCGGCCCCGCTCCGCGCCCAGCCGGGAGGCGGAGATCCGGGCGGCGGGGTCCTCCCGGCCGCGGGGCCCCGCTCGGCTTCGGCGCCCTCCCGCAGCGCCCCGGGCGAGGCGCGGTGCCCGGCGGCGTCCCGGGCTCCCGGCGGCGCTCCCCGCGCCCGGAGTGGGGAGCCGGCACGACCCGGCTCCGCCGCCGCCGCAGTGCCGTCCCCGAGCCTCCGCGCCGCCCGCCGCCTGCGGCTCAGCTCCAGTCCTTTGACAGGTGTCCCCGATCGCCGCCCCGTGCAGATCCCCGGGCCTGTTGTGGTCGGGTGGTCTCTGGTCAAGTTTGGCCTCCCACTCTCACTGCCGTTCGCCGTTCACTTTACCGTGAGCCAAGTCAGGCTGGGTTGAGAAGCGGGGGACCCGGGAAGGAGGCACGAACTTGCCTTGCCCTGTGCACCGCCCCCCCGCCAAATGCACAGTCTTGCTTTCCTGTCCTGGGTGCACACTTGGGAAGAAATGGGATTTTCGGTTTCTCCGGGAGACGGCGGTGGGTGGGTTACCGAGGCTGTTTGGTCGTCCGTTGCAATAAAAAAGTGATTAGCTTTGGGTTATGGAGAGAGCCCTTGCCTGGTGATTTTTCTCCTCCTGAAATGAATCAAATCGAGAATGAGAGTGGTTTTCCCATTTTAAATCCACAATCCTTTTCTCTCTACTCATCCCTCCCCTGCGTCCACCCCTACCTCCATAGCACTTTCTTATATCCGGAACACTGCACTGGTTTTTTGGTCGGGCTTATTGCAGCCAGACTGTCTTTCATGGCTGAGCCAGGACTGTGACCACGAATGTGAGAACGTAGCCTGGTTGGGGTGGAAGCTCCTCTTCTCCAGGAAACCCGCTCCGACTTCCTGCTTGCCAAGTGCTGTGAGGGAACCAAGGATACCAATAATATGTTTTTTAAAAAAGTTCTTGGATCTATTACAACAGCACAGCCTAAACGGTAATATGAGTTTCTGCTTCATTTCTCTGCTTGAATCAAAGGCAAATTTTTAATAATGCAGGGCTGTAACTCCATCCTGGACTGCACTTCATCAAAGGATAGGCAAATGTGGATGTATAGAGTCTATAATAACAGTTAATAAATTGACCTACTTAAAGTTGTCAAGGAAGAATTGTTAGGTTCACATATGTGATATTTGCAGATCAAAGAATTTTAGTCTCAACTCTCATGTATTAAATTCCAAACTTTTTCTTCTCTTGTGTCCTAGAGACACCATGTTTCCAAGATTAGCTGTAGCTGCCATCTCTTAATGAACTAGAAATGTGAGTTTAATCTTCAAGGCAAAGCATAGGTATTTTAATGGTGTGTCTTTATTTATACATTATTTAATAAATGTTTTGCAAACTCCCTAAATTGGAAGCTCAAAAACCGGACATGGTAAATGAGAGGATAAAGAAGTTTTGCTAACAATAATGACTAGTTGGTAGATGTTATGACTTTGAACAAACATATTAAAGTATTTAGAAAATGCGTGTTTATTATATTCTGCCATTAGCTGAAGGCAATGTGTTTGAATTATTTAAAGCGTCTTTATAGCAGTTGCTTAATTCGTATATTTCTTATCAAATGCCTTTCACAGGTTGCCTTGTGAGGGGAGATAGTTTGCTCTATGGAGTAATTTTTTTTGCATGCACATAATAATGCCTAATGTTTAGGCTTTGTTGTAGAACGGCCACAGACCGCAGTCACGCTCACAACGACCTTGCAGGGTTTTTGTGCTCACGTTACCTGCTTTGTGATCCTCAAGAGGGAGGATACTTTGCTTTGCAGTCTTGTCTGTACCTCTTGTTTCCCCTGTGACCTAGGCACACCTCTGCAGCACAGTGGCCAGATTAGCAAGGCAGCCTGGAGCCACCAAAGAGGAAAAGCTGGCTGGCCCCTGCAATCCTAGCCATTGGGTTTCATTATAATCTGGCCATTTGGGATCAGTTCAGAAACCAATTAAGCAAGACAGACACTGACAAGATAATGTATTACCTCTCACTCTCCCCTTCCCGAGAAGAATCTACAGCACTCAGAATCCACACTCCCGTGGTGATTAGAGTTCCGTGAGGCTCAAATGAGCTATGTGCTAAAGTTCTCAAAATGTGATACAAAGACCAAATGTTACTGAATCCGAGTTTAAGTTCATGAAAAGGCTAGGAACAGTCCCAGGGGTGTAATAAATATTTTCCTTATCTTAAGGCAACAACAGAAGTGCATCCCTACTTGTTTAACTGTGAACTTTTATTCCTGGAGCTGACGTGCCATGCATCTTTGTGTTTTTTCATAAGTTGCTCTAAGGACTTGCAAACTAGCTCGTAAATTAGTAGAAATTTAACAAGCTATTGTTATCGCCAAATTATCATTTCCTGGCATGTTTGGATCTTGAAAGATAACTTGTGTCGATGGAAAGTCTTAATGCAAAGAGATTTTAGACAGGCTGATTGGAATGATACTTTGAGATAATAATGGAATCTTTGGCAATCGCCTTGAGATTCAGCCCCACAAGCCAGCTCTGCTAGATAGTGCTTGGAACTCTTTACCAAATGAGAAATGAACAATTTTCTTTTTAGCATGTGTAAATGGCCTTTTTCTAGATCAGTGCTGTCCAATAAAACTTTCTGCAGTGGTGGAAATGTTCTATAATCTGCACCAAATGGTAGCCGTGAGCCACAGGTGGCAATTGAGCACTTGCAATGTGTCTAGTGTAATTGAGGGAACTGAATTTTAAATTTTATTTAATTTTAATTAATTTAAATAGCCACATGGGGCTAGTGGCTACCATATTGGACAATGCAGTTCTAAATTCTCTCCACTCGTTTCCTGCAGAGATACCACTTGATAGCAATTATCCCTTAATTAGAAGAAAGTGGAACTTGGCATTGATAGAACCAGGAGTTAAGATTTGACTCCGTGATCCTGTTGTTATGAAAAAACACTTGCAACTACTCTGAAGAAGGTGTTTTACGTTGAAGTTCAACTCTACTCTAAAAATAAAGTTTCTTGTTTTAATTTCCAAGTGTTGGCTAGCCACAAAAGTAAGCATCCCCCAGAGTTGTTTAGATGCTTGGCCTCAGGTGTCTGTGTTCTTGAACTTATTTTATTATTTGCTGTTTTGCACAATATAGAATCGTTTCTTCTTAGAGTCAGTTTCTGCACTTTTCAGTTTTTCAAGGGGAGGGGGATTTGGAGGGAGGTAGGAAGCTGATGGTGATGCAGAACTCTTCCCCACGCCCTCTCCTGCAATCACAGAAGCCCTGTGAGAAGTCTGACGAAGGAGTACCAGTGCCTCAAGGAGTGGCTGAACTCTCTGCCTTGGCTGGGCCCTTCTTGTTTGGTCTCTTTCCCTTGGGCTTCAAACCCAGATCCTCTCACTCAGCCCAGCCCCTATGGATAAACAAATCCACTTAAAAAATAACCTACCATTATTTTTAGTAAAACCATTGAAATGGGATTTTATTTAGCATCTACCATGTTGGCTCAGTTTTTAAACTAATTTGCTTTCATTAAAGCCGTTATTTTGACCATTTAGAGGGACACACTTTTAATTAGACTTTTTCACAGGACACTGTCTCTCATATTCCTTGGGTGAGTGACGCTCTGTCCCCCAGCCGTGCGCCTGGGAAATCTCTCCCCAGGCCAGAGCTCAGGGTCCTGGGGCTTCTCCTTCTCTGGGAGACACTCTCCCTCAATCAGGTATTTAGAAATTTCTCAAATGTGTTTGTGCATACTAACTAAAATATAAGTTAACCCCTAAGTTGTCTCTGTCCTTAAGGTGTTAACCCTCTAGGATGACATTTCCCAAATTAGTGTCCACCCCACAAGGGGATGGGCATGCTCGAATAACTTTAGGAAACGTCCCACATGATCTTCTTTTTTTGGAGATTTACAATGCACAATAGCATAGTAAAGCCTCTAAAATGAGATCTATATACTTATTTAACTTTTTTATTGTTAATGTTTGCCAAAAATATTGTCATACAACACTTAGCATAGTATTTTTCAAATCACACATCCTGGTCATGAGATCAATTTAACAAGTTAGGGTCAGCATTTCTTTTAATGAAATGGAACATAGGCTGGGAATTATCATTGCATCCCTCCGAGAGAGGGTTACTAGTGTTTGATGAAACTTTTGGGTCCCAGTGTAGAGCAAGTGCAAGGCCACGAGGCAGTGGAGAGTGGTGGTTAAGAGCGCTACAGAAACAGGCCCCCTGGGTTCCAATCCTGACTCTGCTCTGCCCAGTCCATGTGTAGTAAGCACTATATAAGCATGGTCATTATTTGTATTATTATATAAATGTATGTATGTATGCCGGATCACGATGTAAAATATAAAATACTGCCTTGGAAAGTAGGCTTGGGACCCACTTTGGGAAACATTGATCTAAGACATATGTAATAGCTAACAATAATGAGCAACGTTACTGAGTACTTACCAAGGGCTCCAGGCTGCCTGCTGAACCTGGGCAGCCTGGTGACAGAGCCCACGAGTTCAGCCACCTCGCCTCCCATACTGCAATGCAATGGTGGTAGATAGATGGACGTCTGCAGACCTGTGAAACGCCAGCATTGTCCAGCATTGCACAAGTGCGGAAATGAGCTGATGACAGCTATTTTCTGTGTCAGATGAGGCCAGATGGGTGAGAGGGAAGTCATTGCAC